TGGTGGAGCAGCCTCGATGGACTGATTGGCCAACTTCTGCTCCAATGCCTTTTGGTCTAATTATATAAAATGCTCATTCATCATATAGATTTTACATATGGGGCATGTTCAAGTAAAACAATACAATTTGAATAGCATATAATAATGGCTATTCTAAGGATTACAGTGCTGCGAGTATGGAGGCCGGATTGCCCCTCTATCTGCCTTCTGTTCTCAAGTTCACCACTGAGATTGTGATATTCACTAGGATCATTCCCAAAGCTGTGTGCAGCACCAGCGAAAAATGATGGTCAAGGAAGTATTTAAAGCCAAAATGTTCTTTCCAGAGCTGCCCATTATATCAGAGAAAGGACTTGTTTTAGGCTATAGAGAGCTGCCAACTTTAGCTTATTCAGCAGTCTGCCTTGTGGTTTTCTTTGGTCCTCCATTGAGCTCATGGATATGTTTCAGCTCTCTATCAATTATTTGTTTCCCTGTCTTCAGGTTTAGTGAATGCCTGTTAGCAGGTCCCCTCCGGGTCCATGATTCATTCCATCCCACTGATGCTGTTGCAATACTGTGTCTGGGAAATTTTTAGAGTCCTAAAGTAAATGCTAGATCTCATTCAAGAGGATCAGCAGTATTGCCTCTCGCAGTTTTCAGCTTTTAAAGGGATCAATTTCAATCATATCTCACTCTACTTCTGTAACTGAAAGATCAGATCTTCAGAGTTAAAAGGATCTGACCAAGTTAGGTATAAAGAGCCAATTTTAAAATATAAGAATAACTGATTATTAACAACTTGTGAATTAACAAGTAGACACAGCTGCTTAAGCCTGAAATAAATAAAGCACTTTAGATGCTCTAACATGCAGCTCTGAAATTAATGTAAGTGTAAGTAAATAATGGTTATTTGCTTTTGAACTTCTACAGATATTCACCTATTTTAATCTTGGATGTTTTAAGTATGAAGATAGTATTTAAAAACTTCGTGCAATGACATCATTCCAAATGTTTTGCACCTGCAGTTAGCACCATGAACTTATGTTCTGTGACAGAACATTAAGTGATGGATTTCTTTGTAGGAAAGACTTGAAGTGTATTCCTGGAACCATTCAACATTCGTATATGTGTACATGTGAGAGAGAAAGCCTGTGATGTAAGGTGGAATTCAAAAGGTTTTTCGAAAAAACCTTCAACGGCGTCAAAAAATATGCGAGCAGTTTAAACTGGTTAGAGAATGATCGAATTAATTTGAAGAATGTTCAGCAAACTAATGATGTCCAACTGCTGTATCAGAATAAGAATAATATGAACTATGAAAATAAGGCAGTTCAGGGTCGATGACAGACAATCTGCTCTAAATTTTGTACAAAAGCAGAAATTATGCAGGTCTGGCAGCACTTGTGGAGACAAAGCAGAGTTAATGTTTTGAGTCCAGTGGCACTTCTTTAGAACTGCTCTAAACCTTGTTGCATAGGAATGAAGAAATTGAACACTCAGTATTAAACTTCTACACCACCTACCCCAGTCATAATTAACAGGAACCAGAGCTCACTTTGAGACAGTAACTACCAAACATCAGTAAAAACCAAAATACGTGTGGATGTTATAAATCAGTAACAAAAACAGAAGTTTCTGGAAAGACTCAGCAGGTCTGGCAGCATCTGTGAAGAAAAATCAGAGTTAACGTTTCAGATACGGTGACCCTTCCTCAGAACTGATGGTAGCTAGCAAAATGTTGGTTTATATGTTTACATCATCAGTAGTAGCTTCAAGGACTTGGATCTGCCTCCCTCAACTCCTACTGCCCTTCAGCATTGAACATCACTATTGCTGTGGTCTGTATTGATTCACATGAGGTGAAGTGAGATTATCTGGGCTGTCTGACTTGTTAACCATTAATCACAAGCATCTGCATGTCTGCACAAGCATCAGCTAACATCTGGACAGAATACAATCCAATTTGACTTTTTGAACAAAGTTTCGTGTTAATTAACTAAATGATAAATTAGCCTTCTCTAACTTGCAAACAGAGCAGTTTGTTTCCATTTTAAAAACTGAGCTGTCATCTTAGTATTAATGGTGACATCCACCAACAACCAGTTCTCGTGCAGCTGGAGGGAATAGATACTCGAAGTTGAAAAAACTGTTAAAGAGCCCTCTTGTGGCGCAGTGATAATGTCCCTACCCCTGAACAGAAAGATGGGTTCAAATCCCACCGGTTCCAGAGGTGTGTAATAACATCTCTGAACAGGTTGATTAGAAAAATAGGGTTTTGAAAAGGAAAACTAGGTTAAATTTTTTTAAAAATTAAAACTTCTTTTAAAAAAAGCTCTTGTGGCGCAATGTCCCTATCTTTTGAGCCAGGAGACCTGGGTTCAAGTTCCACCTGCTCCAGAGGTGTGTAGTAACATATCTGAACAGTTTGATGTAAGAAAATATTTTTTAAAATAAGCTTTCAACATCATTCTAATTAAGTTCAATGAACAGCATCTCATCTTCCAACTATGGTCTTCCAGAAAACAACAATTTCAACAATTTCAGTTCATAATCTGTCTTCATGTTTACAGATTGAAGCTCTTGGCCATGATTTTACGATTCCCATTTATATCTCCACAAACCGATCTTTTGTCTTGTTTGTCTCATGATCGTCTTGCACCTTGTAGTAGTGCCTTTATGTGGTTGAATCTCTAGTCTCACAGCCCAAATTAGATCTTTTGTTTTGGCCTTTCACTCAATTCTGCAGTTGGAATTACTTGAGCTGTTATATTTTCTTCAGTTTCTAGTTCTGATGACATACTATTGACCTGAAACACCAGCTCTGTTTCTATCTCTGCAGATACTATCGGATCTTCAGAGTAATTTAGCAAATTCTGTTTTTATTTCAGTGTTCCAGCATCTGCAGTAATTTGCTTTTTGTTCGGTGTCACTAAGACCAGTGCTCCTGTATCAGAACTTTGTTGCCCGCAGTCTTAATAAATCTCAGAAATTTTACTTTTAAGGCACATTTGAGTGAAAAACATCATGTGCCTATCAGCAGTGGTCAGAGCGCATGTAAGATCAGTTTCTATGAAGACAGAGTGCTCTGTAGTTAAATCTTAGATGTTTAAAAGTTAGATTTAATGTAAAGGCAGCAATTTCCTATATTTCCAAATTCCCACTGCTAACCACTCACCCTACTTTGCAGTTAGGAGCTTCCATAGCACACACCTGAATAATAGTGTCTGGTCCAGGTGAAGATAATGAGGAGGATGATTCTATCACTTTGGTTTCTCCTGGAGAAGGAGCTGAGCTTTGACTCCTAGCTCCCAGGCTGTTCTGTAGATAAGGAGTCAGTGCTGTCATCATCAAGTGAGAATGTCTCTAAAGTTTTGGGCAAATGCACTTGGCCAACTGCAAAAATAGGTCTGAAAGTGATTTGTGAAGAGGACATAAAATGTCTGCAAAGGGATACAGAATAAGTTGAGTCAGCAAAAGTTGGTAAATGGAGTAGAATGTAGGAAAAAAGATCTTTTCCACATTGGCAGGAAGAATAGAAAAACAGCATATTATTTAGGTTGAGAGAGATTACACAGTTCTGGGGTACAGAAGATTTGGATGTCGAATATGAATCAAAAAATAGTAGGCAGGTATAGAATGTGATTAGAAAGGTAAATTGAATGTTGTAATTTATTTCAAGGGCAATGAAATATAAATGTAGTTTTTCTTTGCACAGAGCTTCGTGAGATCACATCTGGAGTACTGTGTGCAATTTTGGTCAGCTTTTTTAAGAAAGGATATAAATATATTAGAAGCAGATCAGAGAAGGTTCACTCAGCTGATTCCTGAGATGGGTGGGGGAGGGGCTAATCTTATGAAAAAGGTTGGACAGGTTAGGCCTGCAGCATTGGAGTTTAGAACAATGAGTTGTGAAACATATGATTTTTAGAGTACTTGAAAGAGTGGAAGCTGAAAAGACATATATTCTTGTTGGAAGGACACGATTTTTAAAAAAAGGATTTACCTATTTTAGATGGAGATGAGAATTTGTTTGCTTGGTGAAAGGGGAGGTGTTTGTTAGTATTGTATCTGAGGATCTGTGTATGAAAATAGTAGAAGAAGAGTCTTGAATATTTTTAACACAGAGGTAGATAAAGTTTTGACTAGCAATGAGTCAAGGGTTATCTGGGGTAGATTTGTCATGTGGAGTTGAGCCATAATCAGTTTGGCTATGATCTTTTTAAATGGTAAAACTGTTTGGACAGGTAGAATAGCCTACATCTCCTGTTTTGTATGTTCATATGTTTATGTTCGTAAGAGTTTAGAAAATTGAGTGGTAATCTAATTAAAACATAACTTTCTGAAGGAGTTTGACAGGTTGGGTGCAGAGAGAATGTTCTCCTTTTGTGGAATCTAGAACTAGGGTCACAGATTCATTGTAAATTGTCTCCGATTTAAAAAGAGGAGAGGTAGAATTTCTTCTCTGAGAGCTGTTAATCTTTGGAATGCTGTACCCCGGTTATCAGTGGATGCTGGATCTTTGAATGTATGCATGACTGTGGTCGACAATTGTTTCATCTATAAGAGAGTCATATGATCCTTGGTTTGGGGTGTAACGCGAGAGAAGCAGGCAAAAAAATAGAGTTGAGGCCCAGATCAAGTTGGTCATTAAAGATAGTAGGAACTGCAGATGCTGGAGAATCTGAGATAACAAGGTGTAGAGCTGGATGAACACAGCAGGCCAAGCAGCATCAGAGGAGCCTGCTGTATTTGCTTTCTTGACTGGTACCTTTCTGCAGCAGTGACTCTGTGACCAGGAGAAGAAGTCACTAATAGTTGCTTAAGAGGGAGAGGTGTGGAGTAAAATTATTCCATTGTCTGAGCCCTGGAAATTCATATAATCTTCATTTTATTGGCAGTGTGAGAGGTTAATGGTAATGGTACCAATTTGTACATGTGTCACACACACATTTGTCTGAGTAATGAGTCAGTTTATGTAAAGCTGTGCTCCATTGACACCTCTTTGTTCTTCCATGCAGGGTGATAATGTTCTACATTGCTTTGAAGTGTGCACTCCAGCGGCCACTTTAACCCAAGGTAAAGTTGATTCATCGGGAATGATTAGCTCCTGAATCTCTCTCCCTCAGCACCTTTTGTAATCCTCCACTTTTATGTTCTTGCATCTTTCCCTTGTGCTGTGGGTCATGACTGATTCCAATGTATTGATTGCAGCTGAAATGCTGTTTAAAAAAAATTTCAATTCTCACTGTCTTCCACCTCACTATCCATGCATTGTCAGACTCTGCCTGCCTTTGGTCTTATTGTAACTTTGTGTAAATCTCCAGTGAATCAATGCCTGACAGAGTTGAAGTCCAAGGGTGTTGCAATGGTGCCCAAACTTGCGCTGGATGTGATGTCATGTGAAGTAATTCGAGTACTGCAGCTCACTGAGAACTCCATTGTGCCCATCAGCTACAGAGTGCCCCGCAAGGTAACCAATAATGATCAGAAACTGATCAGCATCTGCAGTTCCTACTATCTATGATCAGAAACTGAGAGGCTTAGATCTCCATGCTGTATGACTCTATGACTTTACTTGATGCACAGCCCATAGCTCAGAGAGTAGATGTGGTGTAGATACAGATGAATTCAGTGGTCTCACCAAACTTAATATATGTTTTGCATGTATACAGCTGGAGACGTTTGGTCCATTCTGTTAGTTCCCTTCTCCCACACAGGTGACCAATCTGATCTCATTCTAATTCTCTAATATTTTTCTTTATTATGTATTTCCTCCCAACTACCACATTTCCCTGACCTTCAGCAGTCACATGTGACAATTTCTTCCATTTTATTGATCTTTATTTGGAAACTTTTCTTCCTCTGCACCACCTTGAGTGTACGGTTTACTTCACAATTGACTACAGTCCACCTCATGAACACCCACACATTCAGCCCCAGACCCTATGGATTACAACCTAACAATCAGCCTCACAATTTATCAATCATTTCAGTGTAAAGTTGCATGGAGGGGTGATGGCATAGTTGTATTGTTGCTGAACTAGTAATTCAAAGATCCGGGTAATGTTCTGGGGAACTGTCTGAATCCCACCACATCAGATGGTGAAATTTGAATTCAAATAAAAATTTGCAATTAAATTTCCAATGAAGACCATGTCCAATTATCATAAAAACCCATCTGGTTCACTAATGCCCTTTAGGAAGGAAGACTGTTGTCCTGGACTATACTTGACTCGACAAATGTAATGTGCTTTACTCTTAACAACTCTCCTGTAATGGTCTAGCAAGCCACCCAGTTGTATCAAACTGCTAAAAAGTCTCAGAAAAGAAATGAAACAAGATGGATCACTTGGATTTGCTCCAGGCATTAGAAATATCAACAACAAATTCAACCCTTTTGGCCTTACAACATCCTTGTAGTATCTGGGAACTGGTGTCAAATTGGGAGAGCTGTTTCGTATGTTAGTCAAGCCAACTGCCTGACATTGTCACAATCAAGGAATTATACCTGCAAATGTCCCAGAATCCATCATTACCATTCCCGTGGTATGTCCTGTCCAGCCAGCAGAACAGAAGAGGTGATACTTATTTGGGAGGGAGTTGCTGTGATTGATTCATGATCCCATGAAGCGTCATGGCATGAAACATGATAAAGGATACCACCTCCTGATTACCATGAACCACCATCCCTCAGCTGATGAATCAATACTCTTCCATGTTGAACAAGACTGAAAGGAAACGCTGAGGTGGCAAGGGCGCAGAATATATTCTGGTTGGGGGATTTCAATATCCATCACCAAAAGGTCATGCAGCAGTACCATTACTTACAGAGCTGGTTGAATTCTAAAGGACATGGCTGCAAGATTGGGTCTGTGGCATGCCGTGAGGGACCAACATGAAGGAAAAGCATATTTGATCTCATCCTCAACAATCTGCCTACTGCAGTGCATGTGTCCATATTAATATCAGTAAGAGTGACCGCCATGCCTCATTTTTAGGAGTGCCTGATATTGCTCCAGGCATGCCCTCCTGCACTCTTCATCAATCCAGGATCAATCTCCTGGTTTTACAGTAATGGTAGAGCAGGAGATGTACCATGGAGATATGAGGTCGCACAGTCCATTTGAGTATAATTGCACTGCTGCTGATGCCCCAAAGCACCTCAAATGCCCAGTCTTAGGTGCTAGATCAGTTTGAAGTTTGTCCTATTTAGTACAGTGATAATACCACATAACACATTGGAGGTATCCTTGTGTAGAAATGGCCCATCTTCATATTGAGGATACCTCCAATGCGTTATGTGCTACTATCACTGTACTAATTAGGACAAACTTCAAACTGATCTAGCAACTAAGACTGGGCATTTGAGGTGCTTTGGGGCGTCAGCAGCAGTGCAATTATACTCAAATGGACTGTGCGACCTCATATCTCCATGGTACATCTCCTGCTCTACCATTACGATAAAGCCAGGGAGATTAATCCTGGATCGATGAAGAGTGCAGGAGGGCATGCCAGGAGCAATACCAAGCACTCCTAAAAATGATGCATCAATCTTGTGAAGCTACAACACAGCTGTAACCACATCTAATTCCACAACCAATCAATCAGATTGAAGCTCTGCAGTCCGGTATAATCCAGTCATGAGCAATGGTGAATGTTAAGCAGCTCACTCATTTGTGGAGCACACTACACGAATATTGCCCTCCACAATGTTGGTGGGGAGCCCAGCATGTAAGTGCAAAAGTAAGGCTGAAGCATTTGCAACATCTTCATCCAGAAGTGCCAAGTAGGTAGACAACATGGAAAATTGTCCAGATATGCCCTGTACATAAAAAGTAGGACAGTGTAACCTGGCCAATTACTGCACCATCATACAGTCTAGTCTTGATCATCAGTAATGTGATGGGAAGTGTAATCAACAGTGCTACCAAGCAGCACTTGCTTAGCAATAAATTGCTTACTAACACAAAATACAGTCTTGGACCAACATGGACAAGGCCTGATCTCCAGAGGCGAAGTGAGAGTGACTACCCCTGATATCAAGGCCACGTTTTACCTCTCAAAACTAGAGTCAATTCAAATCAGAGGGAAACTGTTCACTGGTTGGAATAAATCCTAGCACAAAGGAAAATGGTTGTGATTTGAGGTCAGTCATCTCTGCTCCTGGATATCACTGCAGGAGTTCCTCAGGGTAGTCTTCTAAGCCCAACCATCTTCAGCTACTTCATCAATGACCATCATAAGCTCAGAAATGGGAATGTTCGCCGATTGATTGCGCAATGTTCAGCACCATTCACGACTCCTCAAATACTGAAGCAGTCCATAGTCAGAAGCAACTAAACAAGTGGCAAGTAACATTCAAGGTGCACAAGTGCTAGGTAATGACCATTTCCAACAACAGAGAATCTAACCATCGCCTTTGACATTCAGTGGCATTACCATTACTGAATCCCCCACCATTAACACTCTGGGAGTGTTAATTGACCAGAAACTGAACTGGACTAGCCATATATATAATTGTGGGTACATGATCACATCAGAGACTAGGAATCCTGCAGCAAGTAACTTACCTCCTGACTCTCCAAATTCTGTCCACTGTCTACGAGGTGCAAGTAAGGAACATAATGCCACAATCCCCACTTGCCTTGATGAGCGCAGCTTAAGAAGCTTAACACCATCTGAGACAAAACAACCTGCTTGATTGGCACTGTAGGCATAAACATTCACTTCCTCTACCACTGATGCACAGTCACCACAGTGTGTAGCATCTACAGGATGCCCTGCAGAAATTCACTAAATCTCCTTGAGCTGCACCTTTCAAACCCATAACCAGTACCATCTAGAGGGACAAGGACAGCAAGTACATGGGAAAACCACAATCAACATTTGCAAGTTCCTCTGCGAGTCACTCACTATCCCGACTTGGAAAGATATCATCTTACCTTAGGTGTCACTGAATTGAAATCCTGGAACTGCCCCCCAGCAGCATTGTGGGTATATCTAGTCCAAATGCACTTTAGAGATTCAAGACCTCCCCACTAACACCTCAAGGGTAATGAGGGATGGGCAATAAATACTGGCCCTGGCAGTGAGCTGACGTCTCAATGAAGAAAACAAACTGTGTAATCAATGAATTTCTTCAACAAATATTTTCAGTATGTTTGTTTTGTATTTATTATCCCAGTCTCTCCATGAATTCCATGATGATTTATTCCCAGACACTCCTGGTAAAGTTCCTTCAATATCTGCGCTGGACTGGTTCAATGGTTCCAATAAGCAGGTAAATGTCACCCTCACTCAGTATCAGTCTACCTCTATCTCTCTCTCTCATTGTCTGTGTTATTCAATGTTTCTTTCTGTGTCTCTCACTGTCTGTTTCATTCTCTGTGTCCTAATCTCTCCCCACACATGGCTACTGGATTCCAGTTCTGTATTTCAGCCGTATGTATTTACTGGTTGCTGTAATTGCTATGTTTGTTCCTTTAGGTACAGAAAGTTTCTTTACATCCAGCCAAACGCACAAAGCAGAGTTTCATCTCTATTGCTGTGCCTAGTATGCGGAAATCTTCAAGAGAATTGAGAGAACTAACTCGCAGGGGAGAAAAAGAAATGGAAGAAGTGCCTTGGGGAACAGGAAAATCTGTAAGTAGTATTTCAGTCACTTAGAGCAAGTGATCTTCCCAATCTGCTGCCATAAAATAATGGGATATTAATAAGTCATCATTTTGCACTTAGTTAGTTGTTCTTGCAAACCACATGATAGGTGCAGGCTGAGAGCAGAAACACATTCCCATTCTTGGAGAAACCAGTAGAAACCACCCCTCAACAGAATCTAGTGCAAATCAGACCTTTGGCTCTGCCAGGGTATTCAGAAAAACAGAGCTCCATTTGGAGTGAATGAGTAAGTGAAAGGTTAAAATAGTGGGGGCAACAATGGTATAGATCAAGTGGGGTACAATGGTTGGTGGAAAGGTAGTAGGTGAACAAGAGTCTTTGATAGGTGGCCCATGACTATCAAAGGTCCTGGGATCCTAAGCTTCATCACAAGAGGAGGAGGATTTAAACCTGCCATTTTGCAGGTTCCACCTCACTTTAGGGATGTATTCAATCTTGGACATCCTGGGTATATATCAGCCTGGGAGATGATACAAAAAGACATTTCATTAGAATGGTACCTGGGATAACACAACTGTGCCACAATGACAGACTAATTAAATTGAGGTTATATTACCAAGGAGTTGTATATTCTGTGAATTGAAAGTGTTAAAGGATGGTCTGACTGAAGTGTGATTGAGAAAAGTGGAGAATTACTCTCTGCTGTAGAGGAACCTAAAAAATCGGAATGGGAAAGTGAACTGAGCAAAACATTGTTATGGCATTTTGAAATAAACAAAATTATAGCATGTCGTAATGACAAGCATGCTTCTGCAGAACCAGTCAAGGTTTTACAAGTAGACAGATCTTGGAAAATAATAGAATCATGGAATGCTACCTCACAGAAAGAGGCCATTCGATTTGTCGTGCCTTTTCGAGTTCATTGGTACAGCAATCCAATGAGCTCTGTTTCCCTGTTTATTGGCCAATTCCATTGGACATTTTTTCCTTCAAATATTTATTCTGTTCTCTTTACAAAGTATCTATTAAATCTGCTTTCCTGCCCTTCCAGGTCCAATGCAAAAAGCAGACAGGAATAAGCTGAGGGACTGGGTTTAAGATGAACAAACCTGAGTTTTATTAATGATACCAGAACTGAATGTTTAACTCCTGTTTCTGGGTGTGATCAATAGTGGATGTGTTGAATGATTCAGAGGTGTAGTCTGTGTGATTGACAATGAATGCAGCATTAATATGATTGATAGTGGGTGTGGTCACAGTGACTGTCTGATCAACAGGTGTGCCCTTGGTGGGTTTGACTGATTATAACTGGTGACTACACGGATATACAAAATGTGGATACAAGTACCTTTTTATGGAGAAACTTGATGACCTTGAATTGCCCACTGGAAATGCCCTTCAATTCACAATGACTGATCTATATTTAAATATCTGTTATGATTCCTATAGATATGATAACCTTTCAAAAAGAGGTAAATTTCCCATCTGACAGAAAAAAAACCAAAGGACAAGATTTCATGTTGTAAGACTTTCACAGCTATAAACCTGCTAAAACCAACCTATACCAAACATTATTTGATTGCAACTCATGCAACAAACTAAAGAAAAGTTACTTTTACATTAACTAAACACAACCAAATGCATCTTATGGAACATTTTTACAGAACACTTCCTTCTAGCTGATATGTACAAAATTAGAACAGTTCCCAGCTCTCCAATATGCTGACCTCATGGCCAAACCAAGTTGAAACCTCTAGTAAAGCCTTTGACATGGTTCCACATGTAGACTAATTAGTAAAGTTAGGTCACATGGGATTCAGGGTGAACTTGCCAATTGGATACATAATCGGTTTCACGGCAGGACACCGTAATGGTGGAGGGTTATTTTTTGGACTGGAAACCTGTGACCAACGGTGTTCCACAGTGTTCTGGGTCCTCGGTCCTCTTTTGTTTGTCATTTATAAAAATGATTTGGATGAGAATGTAGAAGGCATGGTTAGTAAGTTTGCGAATGACGCCAAAGTTGGTGGCATTGTAGACAGTGAAGAAGGTTTTCTAAGATTACAAAGGGATCTTGATCAAATGGGTCAATGGACTGACAACTGGCAGACAGCGTTCAATCTGGGTAAATGCGAGGTATTAATTTTGGTACAACAAACAAGGATAGGGCTTATATGATTAATGATAGGGCCTTGGGTAGTGTTGTAGAACAGAGGGACCTAGGGGTGTAGGTACGTAATTCTTTAAAGTTTGTGTCACATCTCAACAGGATGATTAAAAAGGCATTTGGCATGCTTGCCTTCATTGCTCAGTGCATTGAGTAAAGGAATTGGGATGTTATGTTGAGGTTGTACAGGACATTGATGAGGCCTCTTTTGGAATACTGTGTCCAGTTCTGGTCGCACATTTATAGGAAGGATATTATTTAGCTGGAGACGGTTCAGGAGAGATTTACCAGGATGTTGCCAGGTATGGAAGGTTTGAGTTAGAAGGAAAGGCTGGATAGGCTAGGACTTTGTTCACTGGGAGCGTAGGAGGTTGAGAGGTGACCTGATAGAAGTTTATAAAATAATGAGAGGTATAGATAGAGTTGATGGGCGTTGTCTTTTCCCGAAGATGGGGTTTTTCAAGACTAGGGGGCACATTTTTAAGGTGAGAGGAGAGAAATTTAAAAAAGACATGAGGCACATGTCTTCTACACAGAGGGCAGTTTGCGTGTGGAATGAACATCGTGATGAAGTAGTGCATGCAGGTATAATTATAATGTTTAAAAGACATTTGCATGGATATATGAATAGGGAAGGTTTTGAAGGATATGGGCCAGGAGCAGGCAGGTGGGACTGGTTTAGTTTGGGATTATGTTCGGCGTGGACTGGTTGGACCGAAGGGTATGTTTCTGTGCTGTAGGGCTATGATTCTATGACTCTAAAATTATTCCATATGCCCCAAGTTTTCAATTGTCATCACCTTAGTGACTTCATTCCTCAATTCTCCAAGAGCCCGATCTGTTTCATTTCCAGACTTTTTAACAGGAATATATCTACCACAAGCATCCTGTCTACTCAACAACGCAAAAAGTTCACCTGATTCTCCATGGCAGTAGCTTCTTTGTCTCAAAACAGAACTTGTTTAAAAAGGTAACACAGTGTGGAGCTGGAGGAACATAGCAGGCCAGGCAGCATCAGAGGAGCAGGAAAGTTGACATTTCGGGTCGGGACCTTCAATCGTCAACTTTCCTGCTCCTCTGATGCTGCCTGGCCTGCTATGTTCCTCCAGCTCCACACTGTGTAATCTCTGACTCCAGCATCTGCGGTTCTTACTGTCTCTCCTTTTAAGAGGTACTGTGTAAAGGTGTTTTAAAATTTTAAAATTCAAATTCAATACTTAAGTAGATTTTGTTTGCGTTTCTCTCCCCGTGGCAACAGATCAAATGAACCTGTCTCTGAGCAGAAATGTTAAGTGGAACTCACCATCCCTTTTTCAAAAAGTTCCAATTTACCTCAAGATAAAGGGGACATTTTAAACCATAAATGTCTATTAAAAACTCAGCATTCTTGGAACTTTGGAACATAGGAATGGGAGTAGGCCATTCAGCCCTTTGAGCGAGTTCCACCATTCAATATGACCATGGTTGATTATCCACTTCAAAACTTATTTTCCACACTATCCCAAATCATTTTACCTTGCTGGCATTTAGAAATCTGTCAAATCTCTACATTTAACTTACTCAATTGCTGAGCTTCCACAACACTGAGAAAGAAAATTCCAAAGAGTCACAGTCCACTGAGTAAACAAATTTCCCTTCATTTCATGGTAAGAGCCGTCCCCGTTACATTGAAATGTGCCCCTTGGATGGGGTGTCTAGAACTAGGGGAAACATCTTGCCTGCATCTACCCTGTCTATCCCTTTTTAAGTATTTATAGGTTTCAATGAGATGGGCTCTCATTCTTCAAAACTCTCACAAATACAGCCCCAATGTCTCTACTTAGGACAATCCTGGGAACAATCTGCTTTCAGGATCTCATTTGTATTCCAATCTGTGTTGGCACCAACGTGCACCACAAACTCTGGCTGTTCACCCTCTTCTAGTAGGATAGCCTGTAGCCACATGCGGTGATATTTTTGAGCCTGGCTCCAGGCAGATAAGACACCATCCTGGAGTTCATGTTTACTGCCACAGAAATGTCTGTCTGATGTCCTAAATATTGAATCCCCTTTCACTATTGTCTTTCCATTTTTCTTCTTTCTTTCTGTATAATTGAGCCACCTGTAGTGCCACATACTTAGCTCTGGCTCAGGAACCACCATCTTCACCATAAAACATAAAATGGAAAACAGATTGGCAAGCCAGATAGACTTGGGGACTCTTACATTGCATGCCTGGCTCTTTTAGCTGTTTGGCTGTCACCCATTCCTTCTTTGCCTGTACACACAGCTGTGGTATGACTGCCTCCCTAAATGTGTCACAATGTAGTTCTTTGCCTCATGGATGCCCAACGTAACTCCAACCACCACTTGAGTTCAGTATTCTAGAGCACAAGCTTATGCAGTTGATGATATTTCCTGCAGATTCATTCATCTAGGACAAGTGGTGTATCCGTGACTTCCTGTATATGGAAAGCACATAATACCACTTGATCAAGCTGACCTGCCATACCATAATTTGAAAGCCTAATATTACAATTAGGATAAGTAGAATCACATAACTAGTTTCTTGCTAATCAGCTTTTTCCCTGTACTAAAGTAAGAGCCAATTACTGGAGGCTGGTAAAAGTAAGAAAAGAAATGAGCATGCTTACGTACCAAACTCCCAGTTTACACTCTGTCCACACAAAGTAGCTCTCCATGTAGACATGGCAGCACTGAGGAAGGCCTCTTCTTTCCTCTCTTAAAAGCATCTAAATTCTCAACACCACCAGTTTTAAATAGTCAGTTTGTGAACTAACTGGGTCTGCTCCACAGTCAATGTATAATCTTTAAGGCTGGAATAAAATGTAATTTTTCTTACCATAAAGAGTAATTCTTTGTGAATTGCCAAATTAAAGAAAAACTAGCCTTTAAATAGAAATGAATTCATAAAACTCTCCCACTCATCAGCTCTCATGACATCTATTTATTCCTATCTGGAGCTAGAGCAACAAATTCAATACAGAGAATTGTCTTCCCTCGTCCACAAAATCAGAAACAGTCTGGAGATCCATCAAGCAAACCACTTGTGTAACACTGTTATCGTATTAACATGTGCTAAGGTGTTTCACAGGAATCATCATACAAAATTTGAAGCCAGATCTCTTAAAGAAATTTAGGACAGTTGATCAAAGAGAGAGGCTTTGAGGAAGCCTTCCAGGAGCAGAGCGTTGGAGAAGTATAGAGGTGAAATTCCAAAGTTTGGAGCTCAGGCAGCTGAAAGCACAGCCATCAGTTGGGGAACAATAAAATTGGGGATGATCAAGAGGCTATTAGAAGGGTGTAGTAAAGCAACTTCAGCCTCACCTTAAATTCTTTATGTGAAAATTTTCAATTTGTTTTGAGCACAGCATTTACAATCTTTGCTGCCTGTTCTCCTCTTGTTCCTGAGCTTTCTGTTTGGGGTTGCATGTGTTTTGTTTTAAAACAAATTTCAGGTTGACAATGGACAGACATCGTCATCAAGTTCCATCAGCTCAATGACCTCACCATCCAACACCTCTCCAAGCAGCACCAGCTCAAAGTTCACCGATTTTGTAACCCCTCAAAGCCAGAAATCTCTGCACAGTATCTTGGGTGAGTTAGAAAGAGAAGCTGAAAAGCTGTTTTTCAGTGCCATGGGGGAGTTGGAACAATTTTTTAGTATTGAGCAGCTGCTGCTGCAGCATAGAAAATGAAGCTGAGGTTTGAGCAACGTGGAAAGGGTCAGAAGGTTGGTGGATAAGTGTGGGTGACAAACTGGGAAATACTTGCTGTGTGGGGTGGGAATGACAGTTCGGTATACTTGCTGTGTAGCACTGGGAATGACAATGTGATATGTTCACTGTGGAGTAGGACCAACACTGGTATACTTGCTAGGTGGGTCAGGACTTGATATTTTGGTGTTCTCTCTGTGTGGGGTCAAGACTGAGAGTGCACTATACTGACTGGGGGAAGGGGAATGACAGTATGGTATACTATGCTAGTTCAGGACTGACAGCATGGTGTACTGACTGTGTGGGTGGCAACTGACCCTTTGGTGTCTTCACTGCGGAATCAGAACTCGGATCATTTATGTGGTGACTGGAGCAGCTAGATGGTGTTTTCATGCTGTGACTATATTCTCAACATCTTTTGTATTTCATTTCTCAGGCAACAATTCAAAGTTCAGACATGTACAAGGCACAGTGTCTCATCGGGACACGCACATCACTAATCTGAAGGGATTAAACCTGACGACACCTGGCGAGTCTGATGGATTCTGTGTGAATCGTGAGCGTGTTGCAGTTCCTTTGAAGGTGTCGGGTGGGCAGATCGCTGTGCTGGAGGTGATTACTAGGACTCTGTCACTCTGCTCACTTGCAATCAAGTTTTACAGTTATATGAAGAGAAAGCTACTTTCAGGGAAGCTTGGGTCAGGACTGAGGTTCAGAGGGCTGGATACCACTCGGGCTGTTAAGACTGTAGAGGAGCTTTATTCTTCTCCAACATCTGCTACACCTGCTCTGGGGTGTTTGAAGTGACCAGTTTATAGGGAGTTTTACTCTGTATCTAACTTGTACAGTACCTGTCCTGGGAATGTTTGAGAATCTAGAGCAAGTTTTATTCTGAATCAGCCTGTCTAAGGGTGTCCTGGTTCTTCATGGTGTCTTGTATGAACAATTATTGCTACCCAGACCATCCAGAATGTATCAAGAGTTCTGAAATCTGAAGATTGTTTTTATGTTCAGTTCATTACAAATCTTTGTCTTCAGTATTGTTTGCTTTCTGCAGCTGTCGAAACCTGGGCGGCTGCCGGACAACTCCCTTCCCACCATCCAGAACAGTGCAGCTGTCACTGACCTCAGCTGGGATCCCTTCAATCGCCATCGTCTTGCTGCCGGTACTGTTGCATATTTTAGGTTCTGTGCTGTAGCATGCACTGCTGTAGGAGAGAATATTTTATCATGAAAGCAATTATTTGCAGAAATGTTGTAATATTCAAATACCTTATTATCTTGTTTCCTCTGGATTTCAAGATGTTCTCAACTCTGCAGTCTTCATTGCTTATTCCAAGATGCTTTTCCATGGACTGAGAGACACTTATCCCACTTGTGCTTTATAACAACCATTTCCTGATGCCATTCTGTCTTCACTTTGGAGGCTGCATTTCTCACATGATTTCTGTTTTCACACTATCTCCTTCTCCTTCAGACAGGCTGTTTTCTATTTTAAGTCTGTTCATCCAATAGCTGGCTGAAGCTATTTCCTGGCTCATTCAGTGATGCCCACTTGTCCACTGAGAAAAGGAAAATAAAAATTGCAGGTCTATGGGGAAAGACCAAAGAAATTGGACTAACTGGATTGCTCTTCAAAAGAGTTGATTTCAACTTGATTGTCTAAATTCTCTGTTTCTTTGAGAGCTGATTTTGTCCTGATGTGTACAGCGACAAGGTGAAATGGTTATCTGCAGTAATGCTGAGTTCAGTTCTTGATACTTTCTATACCAGCCTTCACAGACAACACCCCATCACAACAGTTAGCCTGTGAGTAGGTTGATGAATCAATTAATCTGTGAAAGTAATCTCTCAAAGATTATGTTTCAACTGGAGGGAGTGTTTGTCACCAGTTTTACATTTTAAAAAGTTGATTAGTGAACACAATAACAGGATTGAGTCCTTACTCAGTGCATTACTTGTCTACAAAGTGAAATGTTTCAAGTAAACAATTCCTAACTTAGAGCCTGACTAGCTCAGTCAGTTGACCTTCAAATGTCTAGTCTGAGAGTCCAGGGCTCAAGTCCCCATCTGGCCAAGGGCTTTTGTGGCAGAGTGGTATTATCCCTACCTCTGAGCTAGAAGGTCCAGGATCAAGTTCCACCTGCCCTGGAGGTGTTTCAAAACATGCCTAAACAGATTGATGTAAAATAACTGCACCTCCTAACTCAACCACATCCTGGTTTGAACAAATGTCTCTTTATATCTGCTCCAGTGAGACCCCAATTAATACTCTTGACCTCCATATAATTAAACACAATTGTAGACAAATAACCAGAGGACACAGATTGAAACTAAGTAACTAAAGAACCAACTGCGAGATGAAGAAAATCTTCTGTTACGCAGTGAGTAGTTTATGATCTGGAATGCATTGCCTATACTGTTGATGGAACCAGAATCAATAATGACTTTCAACAGAGAATTGGGTAAGTATTTTAAAAGGAACAATTTTCAGGGGTGTAGGGAATAAATGAATAGCTATGACAAAGAGCTGACACAGGCATAGTAGTCTTCAGTGCTGTTTAATTCTGCAAAACTGAAATGCTTCTTACATTGTGTATATTTGACTATTGGTTTCAGCTGGTGAAGATGCAAAGATCCGAATCTGGAGAATTCCAACTGGAGGACTCTCGGGAATTCTTTCTGACCCTGAGCAAACCCTGTCTGGTGAGACGGTGCTGAAAAATGTGACTTCATCCCCCCAAAGATAGGATGTGAAGCAAATTTACTAAATTTATTTCACAAACAGACAAAAGAAAGTGATGATGTTACCGGATAAAGAAAGAGCTAGACAACAGACAAAGGAAATCTGGATGTGGTTATAATATAGTCAGGTGGAGTCCTTGATGGTGGAAGTCATGACACTGAGAGTTCTGGTGGGTTTAAGTTCATACAGTTTTTGCAAAGCACCATGTAAAAAGGTATGAATAGCAATCAGAGTGTAATATGGGTAGAGAACATAAATGTTGAACCAAATGGCAGGGACATTGCTGAAGTAAACTGCTTTCAACCTTGCTGTTGGAAATGCTTTATGCAGTAAGGCAAGTGAGCACTGCCTTACTTTTGTAACCACAGTGATTACATAACTGATCTTTCCCTGGAAGAGTTTCCTCTGATCTGAAACCCAGTTTCACTGGCTTCTTTGCCATTCTTGGTTTCATGTTGAAAACAGTTATTATCACCTTTCAATGCCGCAATGCCAGCTCTAACCAAATAGTTGTGATGGACCCTAAACTGATTATCATTAGGAGATGCTGTACCATTACAGCCTTTTCATTTGCTTAGCTGATAATCACAAAGAGGCTGAATGGATTGCAGTTGTGCAGGTGAAAATTTACAATTTTTCTACCATACTTTCTATGGTAGTCACTCTTATTGATACTGACATGAACAGATGTACTTGCAGCAGGCAAATTTGTGAGGATGAGTTCAGGAAAGCTCCCCCCTTGTGTTGGTTCCCTCATCAACTGCTGTAGACCCAGTTTAGCAGCTATGTCCTTCAGAACTCAACCACCTCAGTAAGTAGTAGTCTGCCAAGCCACTGTTGCTGATGGGCTTTGAAGACCCCTTCCAGAGTACATTCTGTGCCCCTGCCAACCTCAGCACATAGTCCAAGTGGCGTTCAACATGTAGGAGTACTGATTGATCAGCTGAGGACGCAGTACGTGATAAACAGCAAGAGTTGTCTTTGCCCATGTTTGACCTGACCCCATGAAATTTCATGGGATCCAGAGGTGATGTTGAGGACTCCGAGGGCAACTCTCTTCTGTTTACCACTGTGCTTCCAGTTCTGCTGGGTCTGTCATGCATATCCACGGATAGTTATGGTGTTTTCCAGGATGTTGTGAATAATATATGATTCCATGAGTATCACTATATCAGGCCATTGCTTGACTAATCTCTGAGATAGCTCTTGTAATTTACACTCTTGCCCCCAGAGGTTGGTTATTACCAATGTGAGTGGAATTAGCATTGCTTAATCCCCTGGTATCAACATCCTGAGGTTACCACTGATCAGAAACAGAACTAGACCAGTCGTATAAATGCTGCGGCTAGTGTAGAAGAGCGGTTTGGAATCCTGCAGTGAGTAACTCCCCACCAGGCTCCCCAGTGCCTGCCCGCTATCTAAAGGTACAAACTAGGAAAATGATGGAATATTCCCATTTGCTTGGAAGAGTGCAGCTCCAGAAACACTCAAGAAGCTTGACACCATCTAGTATAACGCAGCCCATTTGTAGAGTCACAGTTATATAGCACAGAAATAGACCCTTTGGTCCAACCAGTCCATGCCAAACATAATCCCAAACTATACAAGCTCCACCTGCCTGCTCCTGGCCCATATCCCTCCAAACCTTTCCTATTCATATATCCATACAAATTCCTTTTAAACATTGTAATTGTACCAACACTTCATCAGGAAGTTCATTCCACATGTGAATCGCCCTCTATGTAAAAAAATTTGCCTCGTCTTTTTTAAATCGCTCTCCTCCCACCTAGTCTTGAAATTCCCCATCTTAGGGAAGAGATAACTACCATTGACTCTACCTATACCTGTTGTTATTTTATAAACTTCTATCAGGTCGCCTCTCAACCTCCTATGCTCCAGTGAACAAAGTCCTAGCCTATCCAGCCTTTCCTTATAACTCAAACCTTCCATACCCGGCCACGCCCTGATAAATCTTCTCTGAACCCTCTCCAGCTTAATAATATCCTTCCTATAACCTGGCGACCAGAACTGGACACAGTGTTCCAGAAGAGGCCTCACCAAGTCCCATACAACCTCAACATTACGTCCCAACATCTATACTCAAAGGACTGAGCAATGAAGGAAAGCGGCCAAATGTCTTTTTAACCATCCTGTCTATATATGATGCAAACTTTAAAGAATTACGTACTTGCAACCCTAGGTCCCTCTGTTCGGCAACACCACCCAAGGCCCTACCATTAATTGTATAAACCTTACCCTTGTTTTCTGCACCAAAATGCAATACCTTGCATTTACCCAGATTGAACTCCATCTGCCATTTTTCAGCCCATTGACCCATTTGATCAAGATCCCTTTGTAATCTTAGAAATCCTTCTTCACTGTCTACAATGCCACCAAATTTGGTGTCATCCGCAAACTTACTAACCATGCCTTCTATATTCTCATCCAAATCATTTACATAAATGACAAACAAATGAGGACCCAGAACTGCTCCCTGTGGAGCACCGCTGGCAACAGGCACTGCACCCTCAAACACTCACTCTTCCAGCACTGACGCTCAGTAGCAGTACCATCTAGAAGACGCACTGCAGAAATCACTAAGGCTCCTTGAACAGAGCCTTCCAAACTGATGATCACTACCATCTAGAAGGACAAGGGCAGCAGATGCATCAGAACATCACCATTTACAATTTCCCTTCTAAGCCACTCACCACCCTTATTTGGAAATACATCACCATTACTTCTGTGTTGTTGGATTAAAATCCTGGAACTCCTTCCCTAACAGCATTGTGGGTCTACTTACATACATGTGGACTGCAGTGGTTCAAGATATCCCATGATTAAATGAATAAAAAACTCACTGACTTTATTCAACAGTGCTTTCTAATCCCACACAATTTAACACCTAGAAGGACAAGGGTAGAAATGTGCAGAAACCCCACCATCTGCAAGTTCCTCCCCAAGTCTGTCACCATCCTGAATCACTTCTTTCACTAGGTCAAAATCCTGAAACTCCCTAATTGCCCTGTGGGTATCCCTACATGACATGGATTGCAGTACTTTAACAAGGTGGTGCACCACCACCACCTCAAGGGCAATTACAAATAGGGTTCTGGGTGTGGACCTATAAGAGGAGGTACTAAAATTGCCCCAATTCTATCAGTAGGGTACTGGGTATAGTCATGGTTAGGATGCACTATTCATGATGTATCCTCTTCCTCTTGTCAGCTCTCCATCCAAAGACACAAACTAAAATTTTGGAAATAAAACAAAGCAAAATGTTGTTACCTAAAGCATTGTAAATTTGCAGCAGTAGCACCAGAGAATGAAAATGGGCAGCACAAATGAAGTCAGGCAGCAAGTGACCCTGAGGGCAAAGATGAGTTAATGACTGAGATCTTGTGAAAAAGTAACAGGCTTGAAATATTTGCTTGTGGGGTGAGGACAGCTAGGGCTGGCCACTATTTTATTGCCCATCCCTAGTTGTCCTTGAGAAGGTGGTGGTAAGCTGCCACCTTGAACTGCTACAGTCTACATGCTGTAGGTTGACCCATAATGCTCTCAGGAAGGGAATTCCAGGACTTTAACCCAGTGACTGTGAATGAACAGCGATATTTTCAAGTCAGGATGGTGAGTGGCTTGGAGGGGAACTTGTTCCCATGTATCTGCTGCCCATGTCCTTCTAGGTGAAAGTGGTTGTGGGTTTGGTATGTGCTGTCTAAAGATCTTTGGTGAGTGGGTTATGAATTATAATGTAGCTATGGTTTTGACTACAGGGGTAATTCGGAAACTCAGTGCCAATTAATTGTGCTAAGTGTCTGTTTCTGTTCTTTACCAGGTCATACAGAGAAAATCTATTCCATCAAGTTCCACCCACTGGCATCTGATATCTTGGCTTCATCCTCCTATGATATGACTGTGAGGATCTGGGACATCAGTTCAGGAAAAGAAGAGATCATACTGAAGGGACATACAGAGCAGGTATACTAAACTTGAAACTTTGGCAAGTGAGACAAAGTATTACAACAACTTTTTCCTTTGTATTGTGAAGGTGAGATTGATTTTTGCGATGGCCTGGTCTGAAGTTGATGGAAATTTTCAGTGTTTTTGGGTCATAGAATCACTGCCCTCCCTATTTGACCTTGTAGTTTCAGTGGAATTCTCTGAACATTTTGTCCAGGTTTTTTTAATTGTCTTCCATGTTCTTTCTCTTACACTTAGGTTCTTCTTATTTTTCTTGCACATGTTTTTTATCTGCTGTGTATTTGGTCTTACTCTCATGCTCTGTCTCTTCTTGTACTTTTTTTACAAAACTTTGTTTTTATCCAGATCTTCAGCCTGTCCTGGAGTCCTGATGGGCAGCAACTGGCAACAGTCAGCAAAGATGGCAAAGTTCGAGTGTATGATCCTCGACGTTCTGTAAACCCTGTGCAGGTAATGACCACTTCCTCTGACAACATGTAAACTCACACTATCTGTTTTCAGTTTAAATTTTGGGCTATTTTTCTCTCACCCTACGTATGCTTGTACATGGAATTGCCTGATAGCTGTGACGATGCTGATTACACTTTTTGTTTCCATTTGCAGGAAGGACCAGGACCTGTAGGCAGTCGGGGAGCACGGATCTTGTGGGTAAGCGACGGACGATATCTGCTGATATCTGGCTTTGACAGGTAAATAAGAAATAATAAAATGGCACCTCGGGGTTGGACAATTACAAAATAGGACTGGGATTAAAGTAAAGAAAGAACTTGCATTTCCATATTACTTTCCACAATTTTGTAGCACCCCAAAGTTCTTTATGGAAAATTAGATATTTTTGAAAGGGTTTCTATGTAATGTAGACAAAGTGCAGCCAACTAGTGGACACCAAACTCCCCCATACAGCTTTTTTTCAAATTAACCTACTTGGATGCTATTACATACCTTAGGAGCAGGTGGGACTTGAATCTGGGCCTCCGTAGGGACATTACCACTGACCATAAGACCATACCCACAAGTAGCAATGTGATAATGACTAGGTAATCTCTTCTTGTGGTGATAGTTGAGGGACAAATATTGGACAGAAGTCCAGAAGGAATTCCTCTGTTCTTCTTCAAAATAGGGTCTTGGAATATTTCATGTTCATCTTAGGGGGCAAATGAAAACGCAACACTTACTCAGTAGAACCCCTCTGACTGTCCACATTTTGCACTTAAGTATCGGGAATGGTCTTGAACCTTCACCCTGTGGCTCTGAGGTGAGAATGCTAGCCACTGAGACGTAGCCAACAAGCTGTAGAAGGAGTATGGGTTTATGAATATGTGGGTGGAGTACGGAGAGGAAAGGTTGGGTAGATTTATTATGCTTGATTGGTTCAATTTGCCATCTAGCATGATTTTATGTAAAAATGCATCACATGGTTATGGGATGGTATATGATCGTGGGATCAGTTGTTCAAAATCTCAAGCTGCAGATGATCTCTGGGACTGCATGGGATGATTAGAACAGCAGTGCCTTCAATTACAGCTTCTGGATTGGGAGTTGGACTTTGTGTCTCCCACTAACTAAATTATATTGAGTAAAATCCAAGCCCTTTGAGAATTCAACCTGACAGCTCTGTGTTTTGTGTTGCAGCCGCAGTGAGCGACAGATCTCCCTCCATGATGTGGGGTCCTTGGCACTGGGACCACTAGCAACCACTGACATCAATGCAGCGCCATCCACTCTCATTCCTTTCTATGATGACGATACCAGCATCGTCTATCTCACAGGCAAGGTCAGTATTAGGTACACTCCTGCCATTGCAGCTGATTGCTGAGGCCTCACCTTCTCCAGCTAATCACCAAGGCTATGTTAGGTAACTTATTGCTCAAAACGTAAGTTGCTATGTTACTTAGTTTGCTCAGTGACTCTGCACCTGGATGATGGCTTGCTAGTTCACTAACTGGGATGTTAGGAGCCAGTTGCTGGGTGACTGACTGGGTTGCTAGGTGACTGATCAGATTGCTGGGAGACAAGTTGCTGGGCAACTGACTAAGTTACAGGGTAACTGGTTGGATTGCTCGATGACAAGGTTTCTGGTGACAGATATTGCTCAGTGTCAAGATGTGTTGTCACTTTTTTAACACAAATGATACTGCTTTCTAACAGGGTGATACAAGGGTCCATATCTACGAGATTCAGACTGATGCGCCATATTTCCTGCAGTGCAGTAGTTTCAATTCCACTGAACCACACAAGGTAAGATTGAAGTTTTACTGCAGTACTAATGTGCTGTTTTCTATTACTAGCAATTAAATGTCCCATCCTCTTCCGTTGAGTTATTTAGACACAGTCATTTTGGGCCATGAGTAAATAGGAGGAACAATTGTGTGAAGAGTGGTGAGGAATGGTGATTTCCATTGCTGGTGGGACAGTTTGGGGAATATGGAGGGGCTCAGCTAAATTAAGAGTGAGGGTGCTGTTTGTATCTTTCCTACAGTCCTAAGTCATTTTGTTTGGTTTTTACATATTCATGTACTCAATCTTGGCTAATCCAGCAACATTTTCTGAAATTAAATGTGGAATTTGAGGATGGGTGTTTAATTTTATCCATGTAGTCTACTCGCTGGTGCAGGATTAACTAATCAGAATCCTGCACCTGCACTTGGGTGAATACCCAGTGTCCAGGGGTAGTGACAAGGAGAGGTAGCTGTGTTCTGGAGGCAGGACCCCTCAGGTGCACCTAAATCTTGACTATAACACTGGTGTCACATAAACACCTCAGGTAACACTGATTAATTTGAAGCATGATGGTTTCTGAATGTTTTAAGATGAGAAGAATGGGGCACAAGAACTGGGGGCGAAATTGTGCAGTTGAGGTGGATGAAAGGAAAGGAATGAAAATTGTGGAAGGGTAAATCTGATGACGAAAAATGGGAATGGAGAGGATAGGATGGGAAAATAGAGGGGATTGCGTGGGATTACCAGCTGATTTGCAAAAGACTGTTATAAAAATAATGGAATTAGTTTGTTTTCTCACTTAGACAAGCCACCTAATGCATTGCGACCTTGTATAAGTTAAGTTGCCATCTTTATTTGGTCCACTATAGGGACTCTGCTTTCTGCCAAAGACTGAATGCAGTGTGAGGGAAGTGGAAATCGCACGAGCCTTGCGTCTGGGGCACAATTCCTTAGAGTCCATTATTTTTACAGTTCCGCGTGTTAAGGTGAGAATTTCAACATAGACTTAGAAACGTGGGAGCTTTGGGCTGTGTGGACTGACACTCTGGCACAGGGCTAAGTACATCAGATTCTTTATAGTTCATTTATTTGGTGCAAGAGATCATCTCCATCAGGACTGAAGCTCCTGACTGAGCAGTGTATTTGATTCTTTGGGATTTGATTTAGAGGTGAAAAGCTTCTTTATGTAGACTCCAGTACGGACATAGTAAGCAGCTGTCTCAGTCTGATGTGAGAATTAAACTGGCTCCAGCATATTCCATGCTACTGTCAATATTATACCTACTCTTATCTAATCTATTTTAGTGTGAGAGATGGGTCTATTCCAATCTAACCCATTCTGGTATGGGACCTGTTCCAGTTTATCTAGTCTGGTGTGATGTTGGACTCTAAGCAGATTCTGTTAGTTCTAATCTCTGAGATTTTCTCAGCAACTTACTTTTCCTTGCAGCTATTTTTCATGTTCCTTTTTCTATTTGCATCACAGAAAGAGTTTTTCCAGGATGACATTTTCCCTGATACCACAATGTGGTGGCAACCCGTGCTCTCCGCCTCTGCCTGGCTGGCTGGTTCCAATGGACAGCACAAGAAGCTGAGCCTGAAGCCTGAAGACATGGTCCCAGGTGCCTGTGATTTCCCACTCTCTTTCTCACCCCTTTTTCCCCATTATAGTCCATCATTAAAGAAGAAATAGAAGGACATTTAGAAAAGCTTAATGCCATCAAACTGCATCATCAAGGTGAAAGGAAATAGTTGAGGATATAACAACAGAGTTGATAAAAGGGGAACTAATAGATCAGTGTGCAGGGGGTCCCTATTGTATGATTTTCAGGCTTACGAAAATGGTCCCATACAAGGGTGTAATTTTAAAGATCTGACATACAAAGATTTCTTGTACTTAAGAATGGCTCCAGTATCTTGTCCTGCATCATGTTCTGATTTGCATACAAATCGACTTGAGAAGGACTCAAGAACATAACCTGTTCTCAACCCAGGTACTACTTGTACTTTGACTTCTAGAAGGCATTCAGTAAGGTGCCACCAAAAGGGTTTTTGCACAAGAACGGAGCTCAAAGTATTTGGGGTAATGTACTAGCATGAACTGAGGAGTGGTTAACACACTGAAGACTGAGAGTCAGGATTAATGAGTCTTTTTTGGGGTCGTAACAATGTGTTTCATTGGTGATTAATGGATCTTTTTCCAAGGATCAGACCTAGGGCCTCAATTACTTTCTACCTACATTACTTGTTATCTATATATTTAGGAGAGGGCAGAGAGTAACCCTTTGCTGCTGTTATAAAAATCAGGCAGCAGGTCATAATAAAATCAAAATACTGTGAATGCTAGAAACCTGAAATAAAAACAGTAAGTGCTGGAGAAACTCAGCATCTGGCATCTGTGGACAGAGAAATAAAGTTAACATTTTGAGTCCAATATGACTTCTTCAGAATTGAAGAGAGGGTTACAGGGATAGGGGAGTGCAGTGGGTCTGGGTGTGTTGGGATGAGGACATAAGGAATCTGTAATCATAATACATTTAGGTTGAGTGTGTGGTAAAACCTTGGCAGATGGAGTTTAATTTGGGAAAGTGTGAGGTTGTGCACTTTGGTGGAAGAATGAAAGTGCATACCACTATATAATTGGTGAGAAAGACTCCCAAAAAAAACATGGATCTGGGTATTCTCGTGCATGAAACACAAAATTAGCATGTAAATGCAGCAAATAATTAAGAAGGCAAATTGGATTTTGGCCTTTATTGCTGAGGGTTTTTGAATTTAAAAATAGGCAAGTCATGTTACAACTATACAGGGTATTTGTGAGGTCAAAACTATACATTGTACTTAAGGTGGGGCCTTGATCCTGAGTTTCTCCAGTACATATTGTTTTTATTTCAGGTTTCTAGCATTCACAGTATTTAAGAAAGGATATACTGGCTTTGAGGACAATTCAAAAGAGCAAGGCTGATTCCTGAGATGAAGGAGTTGACTTGTTAAGAATGGTCATGCTAAACAGTTTAGAAGAATGAAGTGATCTTATTGAAACATACAAAATTCTGAGAGGAAACAAAAACAGGAATTACAGAAAAAACTCAGCAATTGTGGTGGAGAAAGCAAAGTTCATGTTTCAGGTCCTTCTTCAAAAGGATCTGAGAGGACTTCATGGGACAGATGTTCAGAAAATGTTTCCACTTGTGGGGAAAATCTTAAAGTAGGGCATATAGTTAAGAATAATTGGGACACTCATTTTAAACTGAGATGCATAGCATCATGGAATCCCTACAGCCATTCAGAGAGACTACACCAATCTTCTGAGGAGCATCCCACCCAGGTCCTAGCACTGTGTGGCAGCAGTGCTAACCACTGAGCCACCATGCCGCACCATAAGAATTTTTTTCTCTCAAAGCATGGTGAATATTTGGAATTTCTACCTTAAGAGAGGTGATCACTGAAAGTACTTAAAGAAGTGGATAGATTCTTGTATTATCAGAGTGTTGAGGGCTGTGAGGAGCTGGGTTGAAAGAGGAATGGAGCTCTAGGGCAGATCAGCCACGATCTTATCAAATGACAGGGGCAGGCTTGAGGGGCCAAAAGACCTACTCCTGCTCCTACAACTTATGTTCTTATGGGTCAGTGCTGTGTCATGGGTAAAAAGGAACGAACAGCTGTGTAGGAGAAAATCGATGACCTGTGTTCCACAAGGGTAAGTGCCACTATCTTATCTCTGCTATCTTTCACTCAGAGGGCCACCTCTCACTCTAACAGTGCCACTGCACACACATCTTACCAAAGCTCATGGACTGTAGTTCTCACTATTGCATGCTTCCACCCCACCCTCCCAAATTACGAACCCTTCCTGCTCTCTGCACTTCTAACTTGTTCATTGGAGAATCTCACCACCTCCCCTGCTCCAGCCTCACCATTAGCTGCTTTTTTATGCATTTCCACAATATTCAGTCCCTCCCTTTGTGTCATTGCAGGAAAAATTGGCCCAGACCAACACTGATGTCTCCACAGGCTTTCAACTGGCATACTTGTAATTACCAGACTGGTTACATTTAATCTGCAGGACTGATTATGGCCAATCCCCTGGAGTGAAATTGGATGAACTCTTAACTGGCTGTGACAGTATCCTACTGACTGTCATCCTCCTTCACCCCACAAAGGACTGCTCCCCTTTGACTTTCACACATGGCCATTTGTTTGTTGCACATGCAGTGTGTTTGCAGTGTAAGCTGCAGCTATATGCTCTTGGTGTGACATTGAGCTAACACAGTGACATCTTCACCCACTTTATGCTTTAGTGCTCCTTATTATGACAAGCTGCCTTCCCTCTTCTTCCAGGCTAAAAAAGTAATGCAAGCCACAGAGGCTGTTACTCTACAACTAAGCACAAAGTAAGTGAGCATTAAGCAATCAAGCTAAGAGCCATAAAATACTACATCTTCACATGCATAAGATGCATGCGTGACCCTGCTTGCAAAATGATGTAGAAGCATGCAATTCCTAGGTGTCCCTGAGCTCCAAAGTAAATTCCTGAAAGAATGATATGATATGATATGATATGAAGTTTGGACTGAAAGCAGGCATAATGATGTGGTGAGGCTGTTGGTTTGTCATTGCCAACTTAGGTGGATGAAGAGTGGAGGAGGATGGTGACCGTGGAGCATGCAGGGATGTTGTGGTGAAGACAGTTGGATAAAACCCAGCACAAGGAATCAGCAAGCTGCAGTCACCAGATATCCACACTGAAAATTACAAGTCGGAATTCACACCCTTTCATTTCTCAGGGAAGGAATGGAGAATTGGAAGTGGTATAGAAATGAGGCGAGTGGAGGTTAATGAAATGCAAATGAATGGAAATAAGTTCGTCACTGTTTACTAGCAAGATTCTAAAGTTGCTGTTTTAGCCCAAGAAGAAAATCAAATTTTCTTCTCTACATCAAGATTCTGAGTATTTTTGTTACTTAACCTTCCCCATCCACTGCTTCGGTTGTATAACTCACCACTTTCTACTCCTTCCACAGTCTGTGTCCGTGGCTGTATGCACACGTGTACCCAGCAAAGACGCATAACTAAACACACTTATGTACTTAACTAAGGACCACTTCTCTCCCATGCCCACACATACACTAATAACAATTTTATATCAGTTCGACAAGGTACTGTCCCCAGTCCTCATCTGTCTGCTAATTAAGGAATGCTCTGGTACGCTACCATCCTGTAATGAGAGGTATTGGCTGCAAATGCAAACCTGTGTCTCCTACCTGTGAATGTTGGTAGCTGCAGTATCTGATTTTAATGGTGTGTCTGTCCTGTAGTGAGTGAAGCTCCTAAAGAGGTGCCAAACAGGAAATACAAGCCCTCAGCTTTCTACCTAGAGGAGAAAACGGATGAGGAGAAAAAGGAAGAGGTAATTTATAATCATATAATTTATATCCATACTGTAATGCTCCTTCCTCTCAGTTTATCCTTCCAACACAGTCTGTCAACCTCCCTTTCACTCAGCTTGTCTCTCTTTTTCTCTACTTATAATCTCTCTCATTAAGTTATTTCCTCTCTTCCTTTTCACACTCAGTCTTTCTAATTCAAACTGTCCTTTTCTGTTACTGTCACCTAAGTGACTTATGTACACTCAATAACTGCATTGTTTTCTGTCTCTCCTTCTCACCCGACTTTCCCCTGTCTATCTCCACCCTCTAATTCTCTAATTCTGCCCTTTTGAGTATCCCTAATCTTAATCATTGCAAAATTGCTGGCTATGCCATAAACTGCTTAGGTACTATTTTCTGGAATTCTGTGTCTAAACTGTATTTTCTCTGCCATTTAACTTTGTGGCTTCGTGTTAAGTTCTGCTTGAAAATAATTCTATGAGGCACATTGCGGTGTTACAATTACAATTACCTTTTGTACAATGTACAATTACCTTTTTAAAGAGACAAATATGTATGTCCTGTTGCCTGTTCCCATCTCAGTCACCTCACCTGCTGTGGTTGTCGTTTGTTCCATGTTTCACACTGGACAATGATTTATTCAGTGTTTTCAGCACCCTGGATAGATGGTTACTGTGAGATTGACCATAGAATAGAGTGAAAATTGGAACTCGTTTTCCCACAGGTCTGTGGATGCTGAAGAGTTAACTGAAATTTTCAACACTGAAATATTTTGATTTTTGAAAGGTAGAGAGAGCTATGGCAGTTCAGTGGAGTTGAGCATAGATAGCCATGAGATAGCTGAATGAAAGAAAAGTTTATAGAGCTGAATACTGTCCTTCTCCTTCTCTTGCACAATTAAGCCCAGTCTTAGTGACAGTACTGAATCAGTGGGATGAGTGCTGCTGAAATGCTGCCATTTCCGCTTTGAAATTTATTAGCTTTCCGAAGGAAAGGATTCATAAAACCATTCAAGATGTAAGGGTCCATCCTCTTGTGTGGAGAAGTGACAGGCTGGTCTCTGTTGAATAGGTGATAGTGTGAACAGTGTCTCACTCTCTTTACTCCTTCCAGCTGCTAAGTGCCATGGTGGCAAAGCTTGGGAACTTGGATGATCCCCTGCCTCAGGACTCATTTGAAGGAGTGGATGAAGATGAATGGGTAAGTGTTGTCAGTTCTGCACTGTTGCTACCAAACTACCTGATAGGCAAAGTGTTGGGGATTTTCTGTATTTTGCATTGATAATGTGCAGGAAACTCTGGGTTCACCAGCAGTAGCTTTACATTTCCCAGCTGATCTAAGACTCTGGGCTCCTTGGTTGGGATCTTTTGATATTGAATTGTGTATCAGTGCATTCAAGATTGTAGTTTGCATGGGACAGCAGTACAGCTTATATCAACAAGGGAGATCAAGTGTCATTATCATCTTCAGTCTTGACAATATAAAATGGTACACTGAGTGCTTTTCAGCACTGTGGCTTAGAAACTAACCACTTTCTTTCCTGCTATTTCAGGATGACTAAATTTCAACTAAAGACATCTCTACAGTACTTCATCTCCTGATGGACCCTCCTGTTGGTGGAGCCACAGCTTCCTGCTTCATCAAATGTCATTAATCACAAGCCTGTTAATGAGCAAGAGAGCGTATCCATCGCCCCACTCACTCGCAACATTTCCCTTGCTCACTTTCGTCCATCTCTCACTCATTTACAGCATCTCCCTCATTCACTCACACCATGACTCCCTTACCCATTTGTAGCACGTTTCCCTTGCCCACTTGCAGAGCAAGTCTCCCTCTCATTCACCACGTCTCCTTTGCTCACCCATATAACATATCTCCCTCCCTCACTCACTCTCCGATCAGATCCAACATCACCCATAGAATGCCTTTCTTTCTTTCTTTAAGGATGTCTTGCCCACTCCTGGTTCATACTCAGCGCATAGGAAGTGCGAGAAAGGCATCAGTGAGTTGCATTTGTCAGCACCCTCACTGGCATTCCTTTCTCAATTTTCACATTCACAACCACATTTCCTTCATGCACCCCTGCCACAGACACACTTGCTCTCCCTCTCCGTCAATGCCCCACTTCATGCAGAGTTATGCAATGGGTCAGTATGCTGCATTGTTGCCAGTTTCATCCCTGTTCATAAATGTGCATTTATTAAAAAAGATAATTTCAGCTAAAGAGTAAGAATTGTCCTGTTTTTCTTTTCCTCAGGAGGACTGTGCGCAAGACTGGTGGGCACTTGATAATAAATTTAAAACAAACAACTAATTATCACTTTGTGGAGATGGCTGATACAGTGTCCCATGACTGGTTTGGAGGGGACTCTGACCCAGTCACAGTGACTTTTTACTGGTCTGGGCAATGACCCCTGACTGATCTGGGCATGACTGTGTGACCTAGTTACAATGATGCTGTTGACCTGCATGGGCAATGACTCCCTGACCCCTCATATTGATCCTTCCATTGGTCTGGACACTGACACCCAGTCACATTCTCTGTTGAGTTCTCTTAACAGGAAACCCAGCCAACAAATCCTAAGTGTCACATAATCAAAATCATCATTCTGGCAAAGGTGATCAATAACCAGTGTCATGTTTGACAAAAGATATTACATCAAAAATTTTGATTATTCAAACAATATTTGGTGAGCAAGTAAATAGGATGTTATTGAAGTTGTCATCTGAAGCAAGCTAAAGCCTTTCAATTTCTTGCTCGTCAATCTATTGTAAATGTCCTTTTAATTTTTTTTATTGAAAAGTAGGCATTGCTGGCAAGGTCAGTATTTATTACCTGTCCTTCACTTCCCTTGAGATGGTAATGGGGAGTCACCTTCTTGAAGTCCATGTGGTATAGGTAGAGTGCTTTTTGAGTATACAATAGTGTCTGCACTTCAAAGAAATTGATTTAAATGTTCAATGTTGACATGTAAGGATTTGCAAAGACTTTTTTCTGCTGATTGTGTTGTAATATATGCACCATGTTGTCTATCATTTATGTTTCAGTATTAAATGGATACATCGTTAAGTATTATACTAACTCCGATAGAAGATCAAGAAGGGAAAGTCTCTGAAAAGGGAAAGCTTTTTAGGTGCCTTAACTGAATTTTCCAGTAACAGATTGTGACTTGCTCACTATAGTCAAAGATTTAATTAGACATTGCTGAGGAAAGAAGGACCAGTGGAATACTCTTTGGTTAAATGTTACAGAGTAGAAAATTCATTTTAATTATTTAGAACACTCCCAGTTACAGAAAATGGCTGAAATGATATTATTTAGGATTAATACATGTTCATAATTATTTATAGCATCTAAGAGGAGCTCCATTTTATAAAACACAATCAGTTAGTCTTTTCTGAATACAGTCAAGCAGCTATTTGAAGGGATGTCTATTTTAAGAAACTAATCTTAGGATTAAAGGACAAAGCTCTACATCATATATAAAACAAATCAGATCTACAATAGCTGGACTTGGTCCACGAAAGATCTTATTCTGTTCAAACCAAACAACTGGTAATGAGACAGACTATTTATTATACAGTATTTTGAGAAATAAAGCTAATTGATTAAATCACCAGCAGATGGCATCTACATCATTTGTAGTTTTTGTTTCTAAGTAAGTTGCTGTGGGGCAGTAATTTCTGGCAAGTATGAAGAATCCCAGGGACACCTCTTTAAAAAGAAGTGCTGCAAATATACTAAACAAAACAGGCACATCTATGAAGGGATCCTGATATTGAATCACCCAGTGCAAGAAGAAGTAGCAAGGTTGGAGAAACTCACCATAGGCCTGATTCTGGATTGGATCATCCACAGATAAACAGGACCCATGGAGGAGGTCTCCCAGGTGGACCATGTGATGGAAATTGCAGGGTGTGTAGTCAACAATGGAAACAATATTATTTAATTTCATATTTTCTTTTGCCTTTTTCTTTAGTTTTCTTTTAGTTGTGCCACTTTATTTTTTAAAAAAAATGACATTTTGTTAGATGCCACTGGAGAAACCTAGCAAGGGCTTGAAAGAGGCATCCGTGAAAAAAAAGACATATTATTCAGATCCATATAGTGGGATATGAACCCACAACTTCCTGATTCAGAGACTAGAGGGATGGCCACTGGACCAGATTATTTAAATTCACTTACATCCTTGTGATTTTTGGCATTTATCTTTGTCTTTTAAGGTTACACCTATCCACCAAAGAATTCAGTACTAACAATCTGAGAGTCTCTTTCAATGTTTTGCAGTGTTCCTTTGTTGTATTGTAACAGAAGGTCTTGGTACATGATCTGATTGAGGGGAATGAAAAGTGTGATTTAGTCCTCCTGTTTTCAATCAGTTTTAAAATACTGTGCTCCCAAATAAAGGTTGCAACTTTACTATTGTCAACAGTTTTGCTCAGGAACAAAGTAACTACTACAGCTTTTAAAAGACAAAGTATGTGAATGTACTTATCTATTCGAAATGATGAGGGGAGAACACTTTTCTACCATTTAAGGTCAATGGGTGTGACTCCAGTGTGTCAGCTGATACAGATCTAAATTGTATATATTTAAATCTGTCATCAAATAGCCTTCTTTTTAATTGTTTATAAATTGCTCTCAACAGATAAGTAAGACTGACTAGGCTGGATTTATTGCCCATCCTTGTTTACTGTTGACGTAGAAAGATGGGCCGTGCTTTAAAGAAACTAAAAATATTGAGGATATTTTCATATTTCATCCCATTTCATATATTGAATTTAATATTCCATGTGACATGGTAACTTAAGTTATTTTCTCTTGAATGATAGACACGGTCTGTTTTGTACTTTTTTCTGAAAACTATTTTGAAAATTATTAAATCATGAATTAGAGTCATAGAGATGTACAGCTTGGAAACAGACCCTTTGGTCCAACTTGTCCATGCCAACCAGATATCCTATATAAATCTACTCCCATTTGCCAGCATTTGGCCCATATCCCTCTAAACCATTCATATTCATATACCCATCCTGATGCTTTTTAAATGTTGTAATCGTACATGCCTCCACCACTCCCTCTGGCATCTCATTCCATATACCACCTCTGTGAGGAATTTGCTCCTCAGGTCCCTTGTAAATATTTCTCCTCTCATCTTAAACCTATGCCCTCCAGGTTTGGACTTGCCCACCCTGGGAAAAAGACCTTGCCTATTTACCTTATCCGTGTTACTTGTGATTTTATAAACCTCTATAAGGTCACCTCTCAGCCTCTGATGGGCCAGGGAAAATAGCCACAGCCTATTCAGTCTCTTCTTATAACTCCAATCCTCCAACCCTGGCAACATCCTCGTAAATCTTTTCTGAACCCTTTCAAGTTTCACAACATCCTTCCTATAACAAGGAGACCAGCATTGTACACAATACTCCGAAAGTAGCTGGACTAATGTCCTGTATAGCTGCAACATAACCTCCCAACTCTTGTAAGAAAAATTCAAAGAATGTGTCTCGTCTATTTGATTAATCGCTTGTAGATGTTTCCAGTCTCCTGGCCTGAGTCAAATTTGTTTACCATCTTTCCTACATTATTACTGACAAAATTTAATTAAATCTTGTCTGAGAAAGAAGCAGAACGTCCTCAAAGTGAGCATACTGGAAGCGATGTGGCAGTGAGTTAAATACTAAAAATAATTTAATTTAATTTAATCTTATTCAGAAAAGTACTTGATCTCAAATTCTTTAAAAACATTTCAAATAAATATGTCTGGTTTATTTGATTAGTCTTTTATGAGCTGGTTCTAGTCTTCTGACCTGAATAAAAATGTTCAATATCTTTCCTATTTTGCCATTTATAAAGTTTAATAGCTTAGCCTATTATCAAAGTCCCTGACTGACTGGTGTCTGTGTCCAGAAGTGACACAAGATAAGAACAGGAGTGATCACTCAACCCTTGAACTTGTTCCACTAGTCAGTGTGATCATGGCTGATCTTATCCTCACCTTTTGACCCAAATTTCTTGATAACTTTAGTTAACAATCTATTATTCTCATGTATAAAATTATATGTTGATCTACGATTAGGGGAGGTGGTGGCATTGTAGTAAGGTCACTGGACTAGTCATCTAGAAGCCCAGACTTTTGCAGTAGAGACGTAATCAAGTTCCGCCACAGCAGCTGCTGGAGTTTAAAATCAATTCATAAGTCTCGACGTTACAATGCTAGTTTCAGAAATGGGCTGAAGACACATCCGATTCACCTGTGTCCTTACCTGGTCTGGCACTGCAATGCAGTTGACTCTTAACTGCCTTCTGAAATGGCAATAAACATGTATTGAAAGAATAAAGAAAAAGAATGCTGTGTTCAGAAAGAAAGCATTCCAAACCTGTCACCTTTTTGCATGAAGAAGTGTTTTATAATTTCATTGCTGAAAGATCAGGCTCAAATTTTTGTCCATGCCCCCACTCTGAGGCTCCCAATTAGGGGAAATTATTTATCCTAATCTTTTCCTTGATGTGATGGAATTATTTATACTGAAAGCTGAAGGAACCTTAAGCCATATGTAAGATACAAATTGGGGCAATAATTCAGTTTAAACAGTTGATAACAAATAGATAACTTGTTTACACGCCATCCTCTATTCATTTGTTTACATCTTCTTGAAAAGATATTACTTCTGTTAATTCTGCATTCCTTCAACATTGCACAGATGGTGAGATCATGGAATGGAGCTTGATCCTTGGCTACACTGATGAGTTTTGAGAGCTATTGACTGAGCTAAACTGTGGCTTATAAGTTTATAAAATTGTAAGTGGAATTTTATAGGTGTCTGAGTGATGTAGGCTGAGGCAAAATGTGTGGCAGAATCAAGTGACAAATGCAGCGATATAAGTTAGAACAACTTTTGCCATTCTTTTTTCACAACTGGCGTGGCAAGATTATCAAAAGGCAGTGGTGAGTTGCCAGTTGGCAGTCGTTAATGCTTGTTAAATTCCTTATTAACAATCCAACTCACCTCAATATTTTAGCTTCTCTTTTGTCAAACTTGCCAAACAAGATCAACATCTGGAAAACTTGACAAGTAAACCAGAGTAAGCACCTGGAAGATCGTTGCTTGCTCACTCTGAATGACCTCTATGATGGGAACCAGGTACCAACATTCTTGGGGCACTCAAACTCCACAGACATTGGCATTTGATGTGCCACTCTGTAAAGGTCTTCCTGGCATATCTCTGATCCAGTAACAAGATGATTCTGCACCAGCAACTATCATTGTAATGCTGCAGCAAGGATACTGTGCTCACAGGGATATGCATCCGGCTCATGGACTGGACCAGGCTCTTTGCCTGCCTTCATAGCACACTACCTCTGAGCCTCCCTGAGTGTTCGGTGTCCCTGTCTTGCATTGCTTGTCTTGCACTTTTGTACTTTGCCCCTTAGCCAGAGGTATCAGGCTTGCATTACTGCAGTTTTTTTGTTACATCAAGTGAGATAGCCCTCAATCAGGGGTCCCATCACTGTAAGTCAAGGGTATCCTCCAACTCCAGTTCAGATTCCTATCAAGGTAGTTGGAGTCATGATCTGCTCCACATAAGGAGGGAGAAGCCAAATGATGGGCAGCATACCATCTATACTTGACTCTGTCTGCCTTTATTGTGGTCTGTTTCCTCCTGGAATGAGAGAGGGCAGGTATTGCAGAAGACGAAAGTGGGTTGCATTTCGTTTACGGTTATTGCAGGTGAGGAGGAGTCCCAAGCAAGTGAAAATGCAGCGCACAGGGCATGCAGGGTTAATACTGTCAGGGATAGGGGTGAGAGGCACAGATGAAGCAGGTAATAGTGAGCATGGTAGCGCATGAGGCTTGGTGGGATGTGGATACAGTAGCAGAAACAGTGAGTATGAGTTATCAGAGAGATGATGATGGACCTTACCCTAGCAAAGAGAAGGGCATTGACCTCTTCCTACAATGCTGGGTATTCTTCCAGACACCTGCCCCTACACCTCCCCCCTCAACGCCATCCCAGGCCCCAAGAAGACTTTCCACATCAAGCAGATGTTCACCTGCACGTCTGCTAATGTGGTATATGGCATCCGCTGTTCCCATTGTGGCCTCCTCTACATCGGGGAAACCAAGCGGAGGCTGGGGGATCGCTTTGTAGAACACCTACGCTCGGTTTGCACTAAACAATTGCACCTCCCAGTCGCAAACCATTTCAACTCCCCCTCCCATTCCTCAGACAACATGTCCATCCTGGGCCTCCTGCAGTGCCACAACGATGCTACCCGAAGGTTAGAGGAACAGCAACTCATATTCCGCTTGGGAACCCTGCAGCCCAATGGTATCAATGTGGATTTCACAAGCTTCAAAATCTCCCCTCCCCCTACCGCATCCCAAAACCAGCCCGGCTCGTCCCCGCCTCCCTAACCTGTCCTTCCTCCCACCCATCCCCTCCTCCCACCCCAAGCCCCACCCCCATCTCCTACCTACTAACCTCATCCCACCCCCTTGACCTGTCCGTCCTCCCTGGACTAACCTATCTCCTCCCCAACTCCCCACCTACACTCACCTCTACTGGCTCCATCCCCGCCTCTTTGACTTGTCTGTTTCCTCTCCACCTTCTTCTCCTCTATTCATCTTCTTTCCGCCTCCCC